TCCTTGTTCCTAGAGTTCCCATTTGCTAGTTGGTGTCTTGGGTGTGAAGCAAAAGAAGGATACCTTGTTTTGGGTCCTCATCATCTGAATCAAAGTGGCTCTTACTAGATCTCAAGAAAAGGACCAAAAAGATCAAGAACAAGAGGTTAGTAATTTTTCATGTTTTAAAGTAGGTTTATATAATAGTAAAACCTATATCCATATGAAGGATCTACACATAGGGTTTAAAATGTTTCCTCAACCATAACTAATGTTTATAAATGCTATAAAACCCATTATTTTCATGATTACTACTCCAAAAGTGTTTCCATATCAGTGTCATATTATCACCACTTAGGTATATAAACATACCAATAAGCATGGCCACCTTAGCTTTCTCTCCATCATCTTCACCATCAACTCACCATAGGTATAAACATGCTAAGAAGCGCCCGATGAATAGATCAACTAATTTAGATAGATAGATGGATATATATATATATATATATATATATATATATATATATATATATATATATATAATATATATATATATATATATATATATAGATAGATAGATAGATAGATAGATAGATAGAGAGGGGATAGAGGGGAGAGAGAAGCCATGAGCATGAAGAGTTGTGGCTAATGCTACATCTGACCCAAATATACACCAACCACGCCCTTGGGGCGTTGTGCATATCACCACACAACTTCCATGTCACCAAAATGCCTTTTTCATGACTTAACTAATGGTATTACCTAAGAAATGTTCACCATTACAAATCACCATATCATATCGAATTTTTAATTATCTAAGAAAACTAAAAATAACTAAAAATAAAAATAAAAAAGTTAGAATAATTTAGTAAATTGAAAATTACATAATAAAAATAAAAAATTACATAATTGTTTCATGCGTCATGCATCATCGTCGTCCTCATTGTGATCGTCGTTATGCATATGGAATATATAGTTTGTCAAATATTGCTACGTAATATGATACAATAATACATTACATTGGTTAGATTTTCCCGATCCTTGTCGACTTTTCCCAATCCTTGTCGACTTTTGCAGTTGAATAATTTCTGTTTTTCATCTTATGTGATTTGACACATACACACACACACACTCACATATATATATATATATATATATATATATATATATATATATATATATGTATATATATATATATATAGAGAGAGAGAGAGAGAGAGGGAGAGGGAGAGGGAGGAGAGAGAGGGAGAGAGAAAGAGAGTACTATATATATCCATCACAAAGAAAATATCCATACTTGTATTTATTTCCATTTACAACAAACGGAAAGTTAGTGCTTTTCCAATAGAATATCGATGAATATCAACGACTCGTTAAGAATGTTTATGCCATTGTTTGACCTGTCATACCAAAGTATTCATGCCAAAACCATATATGTTGTGGCACCATTGTTTCTAGTATTATCGTCTGGATTTCATGATCATCAAATGTGAATTAACCAGGCCAGGTATTAGGATAATTTTCCCATTGCTAATGCATATAATCAATACTTCCAATCATCCTTGGGAAATTGTGTGCTACTTTATGTGCAACATATAGTTGGTTGGAAATTTTTCTTATAGGTTTCTAAAAATATATGTTGGCATAAAGCTCCATTACATATTCGTAAAACAAATACACATATTCTCACTTTGTTCTTTCAGACATCTTGAAATATTCATCTGATTCATTGGTAGTGATGCCTACACCCAACCCTCAAATTTTGGAGACCTTAGACAAAAATCAAAGTGAGGTCCAACAATAAAATTGGGTAAAATATTACTAAGTAAATTCCATATTTCTGAAGTCAAAACGTAATTTTGATAACAAGAAAATCATAAATTATCTACTTCAACATCATATATTGGTCTTCTCTTGTTAGTAGCAAATTCAAATATTATAAACAACTTTCCAAAAGAAGATAAACAAGAATGCATTACTTTTTTCTAAACATCGACCGTTTAGCATTTTAGAAGCAAATCATCTATTACAGTTCCATAATCAACATTTTGTAAACAAACTCGTTGTCAATCGAAATCAAACCCATAACATTTAGTCTCTCTTGAGGCGTGGTAGATCACAAATAAGATTTTGAAATTTTAGTTTTGAAAAACTTCTTTTTGCTACTGCAATTGTAATTGGAACATTTAAGGGAAGAGAGAAGATCTCTTATTTATGCCCACTCTTTAAAATTTTATTTCCCTTATTCCAAGAGCTAATTCGATGGCACTTGGTATCCTTCCCTAAACTAAAGAATATACTTACCATGTACCGACATCATTTAGCTCAAGATGGGAATAATATTTAGTATGCTAGTCATGAAAGTAGATAATTGTTTATCATTTTCAAGATATTTAGTATTGTGTGAGTTATATTATGTTCAATGGGTAAATTCTTATGTAACAATTTCAGTTAATTGAACAAATAATCACCATAGACTTCAGTATTTAATGACTTCAATTTTTCTTCTATGAATAAGAAAAAAATGTCTTCATACTGATTGTGTTGCTCAAACATTCGCTCCAATGAACCAATAACTTGATCAACTATATACAAAAATACTTCAATATTTAATGATTATTGAGATGAAATTTGATGTACTAGTTCCAATAAATCAATGTCATTCTTGTCAAAGTTTAGTTTTTCAAATTCTCCTTTTATTATTTTTCTCAACAAATCTTGTATCAGTTCCCAAATCAGAAGCTATAACTCTTAAATCAGAAGCTATAATGCTGACACAATTCAAAGCCTTCTCAAAACTATGCTCTCAGTAGTCTTTAAAACACTCAATAAGTGCTCTCACACTAGTCATTACCTCCTTAATAAACATTGTTTCAGATTGTATTTGTATGTTAGGTTATTTACATTATAGCAAATATATGATTCCATATAACCATACTAGTAATAAAGTCAAATTTGCAAAGCTCATACTCTGCTTGAAAAGTAACTTCACTTTTTATCTTCATATATGCATCTTCATTAACAAGTTTATGCGAAGCTTCTATAATTTCAAGAGGTCGAGTCTTGATTTTTCACATTCAATCCTACTTTTACACATTCATTCGTACTTTCCAATGAGAGAGTTGAGCAATAGTTTCTGGAGATTCATTGGCGGCTTACTTGGACAATTAAGTTTCTTAGGTTTTGATTTTCTAGATTTGTTTTCCTTAATTTTTGGTGGATTTAATAAAATTAAAAAATTTTCTATATATAATTATTACGGGTAGAAATTGTATTTTTCTTGGATGTGTATATTTTTCTTAAATTGTTTATAAACCCAATCAATTTAGGATTTGTACTTTATAATAAAATTTTGATTTTTTTCGTTGGTTTTTCTATAATTAAGATGATTTTAAAGTTCAAGGGTTAAATTGTATGTAGCTAATTGTCATGACTATTTTTAATAATAATATATAAAAATATTTTTCTTGAAAAAAGTTATACCATAAATGTTGACATGCCCTTAAATTCGTAGACCCCTTATAAATGACCCTATGCGACCACATCACATGTACATCCCATATCCCAGGGACGAGGCCGCCACCAGTGATGTTGTCCACCAAAAGTCGAATAGCCTTACACTTTTTTAGTGTATTCAAACCTCGTCTACCTTTAGCATCCCAACGTAATTGAAAAAATTGTGATTATTTTCTAAATCGTTAGCTATGTGTAGGAATAGTTTTCTGTATAAGCAGAACAACGTTTGAATGACTTAAGGATGTTCTAGCAATCATATTTAGAATAGTCATGTACTAAAGGTTCATTAGCAGCTGCACGATTAATTGAACATGATGCTTACCACTTGAACGAATGTGTTGAAAAATATTTCACTGTATGATGAAGATGAAGACCAACCAACACAAGTTCCACCTTTAGATTGTGTTTTATTGAATGATTATGAGAATAGAAGTGTAAAATTTTTGTGTAGATTGTATTAAATGTAATTATAGGGTTAATTTCGAAGAAAAAAATGATTAAGCTTCAACGATCATATTTAGGAGAAAGAGACGTTGTGAGCCGTTGCTGAGGTCACATCCAGGCACACCAAACACAAACCATGCGCGCGAGGGGGGTGCCACATAAGCACCACACTTATGGAAAGTATACCACAAATCATTATTAACAATCTAAATTGTTTTAGACCCAAACATACCCTCGTACTTTGTGCATGAACATTTTTTTGTATTTTCATTAATTAATTTGTGATATATACATAATATATTATATAATAACTTAATACAAAAAGTATTTAGAATAATTCCGTCAACAAAATATTGTTATGGTTTTAAAATACTTACCACTAACGGATGTAAGCCTCTATGGATAATATATATATATATATATATATATATATATATATATATATATATATATATATATATATATATATGCTTAGGTTATTATATTCAAAGTAATTATTGTGTTATTGTATGCATAAATGTGGGCCAATCATTTTACTTATTTTAAGAAAGTGATTAATACATATTATTGAATTAAATATAATTGAAAAATACCATCTAATTTAACTAGAAGGGTATTTTAGTCAATTAATATAGAATTATTAAAGGAACTTTGCATATTTTAAGGGATCATAGATTCTATTAATTTAAAAAATCCGATTTTACGAATTATAAGGTTTTTAATTCGGACATTCTGACAGAATATGTTTGAGTATGTTCAAAAATAAAAATATTCTAGAACCATAAAATAATAAAAATATTCTTGAACATATTTCCTTATCACGACTTAAAAAATTTGTTGTAGAATAACAAATTCTCGAACTAGCAATTGAAGAATTAAAAAAACTACATTAATTCTTATAGAATACATGTAACAATTGCTAAGAATTACATTTATTGTTAAAGAATAAAACTAAAAATTTTCAAATCGGGAAAAAAACATCAAAATCTAACAAAGACACTAATGCATTCTAAGAGAATAATGTTGCTAAGAGGCGTTGTTCAAATTTCGTGGTCCGTTCTTCAAGCATCAGCTTCTGCGGAAACAAATCCAATGAATAAATTAGTGAGAAAATATCCATATTTCATTCCAACATAATTGGAATTCGTAATTCCATTCTGATAGAATTGGAATTCATTTACCAATAATTATATTAATTCAGTGCATTCTAACATAATATGTTCATGATTATCATAAAAAACATTCTTTTCTGATAGAATACTATAAATCTATTATACCAACCATTATTCGCTATTCCAAGAACAGAAATCAAATGTCTTGCACTTTCCCCTGGATTCTGAAGTATGTATTCTATGTAATACATTCCTGCCCAATTTTGGAATATATTTCAAAGATTTTCAGATGTAAGAAAATACCTGAAACACCATTTATCAAGTAATTATGAAAGGAAAGGACATACCTTTAGTGGCTTTGCTATCGATGAGTTTAGCTGAAACACCAGGGGGTTTCTGCCAACTTCTGTCTAATCCGCTAACCTATTATTTATTACTTTATTATATATTTTTATCAACGAAAAAATTCATAAATTGAAGATTATGAGTATACCAAGTTCTCTGCAAAACCATCGACCTTGCCAAAAGATTCCAACTTGGTAAAATCAGCACCAAGCCCAGTGATCACTACACTCACTGAGATAAACATAATGAAACTTAAAATTAACTACTAAACTAATTTTTCAAAATGAAATAAATTATATGTACAAATACCATTTGAATTAGAAGCTTCTGAAGGGTAGAATGCAGTAACAGACTTGAAGTCGTTGCCTTCTCCTCCTCCTATTTGCCAATCTACAAGTTCAAAATACTTCAGACTTTTTTTAAAAATTTACCCTCTTAATTTTTCCTTCCATTTCCAATAAAGAATAGAATCAATGTTCACCTTGAGGAATCGTTATCTTGAATTTGTTCACATCATCGGAGTAAATTTGGAAACCCTCTGGCACAACTAGCAGAAGCATATATAAAGATTTCCCTTGATAAATTAATGATTTTAAAATTATGTATTCATGAATTTTGATATGATAAATGTATTAGATATTGAATGGAAGTTAACCTTCCTCCGCATATGCAAATGGAACCATAGCAGGTACAGACAAAGCGCCGAATACAGTGTGTAACAAAAGATCTCTTCTTTGAACTTTTAGAGATTGTTCTTCAATAGTTAGGCTGGTTTCGAAGGACCCAAGAACAATAATTGAAACACTATTAGAAAAAAGAATAGAAAGTGCACAAATGAAGGTAGCATGTGATTAAACACAGTTCGTTTGGATCGATTAACATTTTGGTTTTGTGGATTTACATCATGTGGCCGGTCCCTTGGGGTAATCGACGGCCACCGCCGCCGAGAATGTCAGCACGTGGACTGGAACGAAGAGGCTTCTTCCTCTTCTTGGGGCTTTCATTATTGATCCTTTTCTCGGTCGATACCTAATGATTATAATTGCTTCTCTACTTTAATAAATCATTAACTGGATGCTTTGTGCCTCTGTTGAAATCACCTCGATAATGTCTGATCACAAATTCATAATTGACAGGCACTTTGGTGTGAGGCCGATGGTAAGGGTGTGAGGCGATTTATGGAGGGGATAAATTTAGGGTTAGAAAAAGTCAATTAGATAAAGAGGGGAACGACTCTAGAATATAATACCTGATTATAGGGATTATTTTTGGAAGTTATTAATCATGTTACGAAATTACCCTTCTTTATTTATTTAATTATTTAATTTTTTATTTAATTTTGATTGGCCCACATTTATGCATACAATAACACAATAAATACTTTAAACACCTGAACCTATCTCTCTCTCTCTCTCTCTCTCTCTCTCTCTATATATATATATATATATATATATATATATATATATATATATATATATATACTATAAATGGATAATGACTTAAAAGGGTAACATATTTTTTGATTTGTACACATTTAGTCACTAAGTTATTTTTTGTACACATTTTCCCATTAGACTTGTTTTAATGTTGAAAAAAAAATTCTTATGACCTACTATCGTAGGTTTATCCTGTTTCCGACGTATTTGGTAGCACCGGCAAGACTTCGGTCATCTTCTCCGACAAGTCTTCAAATTTTTTTTTTCCTTTTTGTAAGTTGTTGAAAGGAAGCAACCAACCATCATAAATCTCCTGATCCATCGTTCCTCATTCTTCCTCCATAGAAAATCAAGAAAATGGGAAAGAGGGCAAAACCTCCAAATTAGAGTTCACATCACAATCTTCATTCGATTCTCGTTTCACAGATGCAGACAAGAAATCAACAAGAACAAAAGGGGACGATTCATTCCAGAAATTAGAGATCCATAGCTATAGTTTGGCTCGGTACCTTCGATTGGAAGATGATATTGCTCATGCTTACGACTCCACAAAACCCTTAAAGATTGCGTCAATGGATGAAAAACAACAAAAACCTAATGATCACCATCCCTTCTTTGACTCATCGGAGCTCCAAACTATCGTTCTTCATAGGCCGATATGTAAGGATTGGCTTGTACGTTCAATTCGGTGGGGTCTTTCAGTGGTCCAAGACTACTGAGGAAGGAAAATGCTGCTTCTTCTTCTTCTGTGGTGGTCGATGAAGAAGAAAAAGGTGTTGGTGATGACCATCACTGCATATACTTTTATCTACTATACCGGGAGCAAGGAAAAAAATGTAGGCTTGATTTTCTTTTTGTGATCAGCAGAAAAAGGCTCGATTTTCTTCTAGTAAGTAACGAATTTATGCAAACCCTTGAATGGGTTCTTCAATTTTGTTCCAGATTCTAACACATATGTTTTTTTATTCAGATCAACATAAAAACAAACCCTAAATCTTCATTTTCATTTTTCTAGATTAGTGGGTTCTTGAATGGTTTCTTCCATTTTGTTACAAATATATATATATATATATATATATATATATATATATATATATATATATATATATATATATATATATATATATATATATATATATATATATATATATATATATATATATATATATGTGTGTGTGTGTGTGTGTGTGTATGTGTGTGTGTGTATGTGTGTTATTCTTCAGTTTGTGTTCTTCATCAGTTCAGGTTCTTTGATTTTTGTTACAAACTCAAGGAACTTATGTGTTTATGTTTGTGAGTTCATCATATTTGTTTTTGATTTCTTGGTTGGAGCATCATGAGTTTGTGTATGTTCTTGAGTAGATGAAGTTAAAGAATGGATGTATGTGTGTTCTTGATCTACAATTAAAAAAATCAAATTGTTTAAGATTTTTGGCCGAAGACTCGTCGGAGTAGACTATCAGAGTCTCGCCAGAGTTGCGAAATATGTTGGAAAGCTGCTATAGCAAGTCATAGGGAAATTGACACTATTGCACAACAAACTTTTAACTTGTCCCGGATTGGTCACTCAAGTTATTCTTTTGCGCAATTAGTCCCTCAACTTTCAAATTACCTATTAATTACACCTTTATCCTCAATTTTAAAGGTTTAGCCGGTTCCGATGCTTCGTTGGCAAGGCTGGTCTGGAAGCTTCATCCCCCATGTAAGACATGATATCAGAGGTTATTAATTGAAACCCTTACTCAGAAAACTTCCTTCACCTTTATTCCCGTACTTGAAACTCCAAAAACCCCTAACAACTTTCAAAACAATACGTACACAATGTCTTCGTCTTCTTCCTACAATTGAGCCGTTCCTCACTTTGGCAACGAGGACGAAGTCCAGAAATGTTGTTGTGACTTGGAAGCACTGCAAAGGACATCATGGACGGCAAAAAAAACCTTGCATGCCGTTTTTGAACTGTCCTAAGTCACTAATAATCTCCGATCTAAGCAATATTTGTTTATTTCTTTAGATTGTGATAAAAGCTAGCTTCAATTTTGGTAAATGTCATGTATGATTTAAATTTACGATGTTTATGTTAGCTGAAATTGTGATCAGTGATGTTTGGTGACTTATGTTATTTGATTTGTGATGTTTTGAGCTGAAATTTGTTAAATTTCTTTGATGTTTGAATTTTTATGCTTGATTTTAGATGTTTGATTATTATTTTGCTCTTTGAATTGGATAGATGACTGAAAGGAGGAGTTTTAGATTCTTCCATTGGATAGATGATTGGCTACAACCAAGATACTACAAGGAGATGTTGTATGACATGAAGCATAAATTAGAGTCGTTGCAGGGTTTGCTTGCCAAGGCCAAGAATGACAAAAGAGTTGCTCAACTAGAAAGGTTGGTGGATAAGCATGAAGCTAGGATTACAAGGTTGAAGAGGTGCTTGATGTGAATTGTGTTGCTTTGTAAATGCTTGTTTGTAGGGTTGGTTTGGTGTGTCATAAAGTTATGGAAGTGATGACATAACTTTTAAGCCTTTTGTATGGTTGGTGTAAAAATTCCAACCAAGATGCATGTCTTTTGTACGGTTGATATATAATTCAACCATTATGCATGTCTTTTCTTAGATTATGGTAGTGGGTTCAATGTAATCTTGTGGATGATTGGGTAGTCTTTTGGTCCTGTAAATCAGTTTGTAAGATACTATTATATGTAAAATAATGAAGATTTTACTTGGAAAGTGTACTTGGAAAGTTGTCTTGAGCTTATTAAAATGACTAGTGTTGTTTTATTTAAACTTATTTTGTTTGTGAAAGTGTGTATCAGTACATGGAATATGAAGGAGTGGATGACTATGTTCCCTTTTAATGTGCAGAAAGTGAGTAATTATTAAACAATTGGGACCACATTGTTTTGGTGCATCTACATGATGCATAAATATTGTTAATGTGCCATATTTCCCATTCATGTGCATGCATGCAATAAATTAGGCAACCAAGTATCTAACATTATAACTTCATTGGAAGTAAATTAAAACAACTTTCATGGAAAGAAACTAATACATTACAATTTAGGCAACATACTTTGTTACAAAACAAACACCATTATCCAACAATAAAACATCTTTCATACAAACATTCCAATTTAGACAACCAACTTTCATAAATTATAAACAACCAAGTTTCATAAAAGACAACCAACTATGACCACATTACCAAACACTATGTTACTCTATATTAAGAGCTTTTTCCTCTTTGAATTCCCTGGATCACCATCATTACTAACTCTTTTACCCAACTTCAACATTCTCTCTGACTTTCTTTTTCTCATCCTTTTCAACAAGTCATAAATGTGTGGTACTATTGGGACCTCTGGAACTTGCACCTCCTCTACTGCCTCTTGAACTTGCACCTCCTCTACCACCGCTTGAATGTGCACCTCCTCTACTGCCTCTTGAACCTCCACCTGCTCTGCCACCTCTTAAACCTCCACCTCCCCTAATCCCTTTTCAAGTAGCACCTCATCAAACAATTCATGTAAATCCACATCAACTTAAACTTGTGTTTCCTGTGTTTGAGTTTCTTCCACCTCAAATGAAGTGACTTGTATCTCTTCCTGGAGTTCTCCTTTAATCTTTTATAGAATTGAAAAATATGGGTATGTAATAAATGAGAAACAATTAAACAATTAAAGTGGTTCTAGTGTATTACATCCACTTACTGGTTGACATTAACATTTTGTTTCCTTTTCTTCTTAACATTTAGCTTATGGGGTCTTCCAATTGAACAAGTTGCTTTATTGTGACATGGTTGCCTGCAAATATTGCACTTGACACCCTTTCCACTTTTGGAAACCTTCTTGGTATTAGCAGTTGACTTCTTACTCTTTGTCTGTGTTCTCCCATTATTTTCTGTGGCATCCATCTTCCTTTTAACAGTTGGTCTCTCAGAAATCCTTCTAGTCACAGGGGGTAAATGTGGTGTGTATTCAATTTTTGGCCACATGTTAGACCTATTCATCCCTGCAATTCTATACCTATATGATTTCATGTAAGTATTTCTATTGAACATTTTGTCCATATAATCCACCACATTCCTATTGAGATACACCACACTAGCAACATAATGGACAAAACCATATCACATGAGTTGTCATAACCTACATGAGAAAGTTCTCCTCATATGCATCTCCAATTCCTCTAACCTCAAACTGATTCAAGCCACTTGGTAGTACAATATAATTTCTATGATACAACTTTAGTTTATTTTGTAGCTCTCTTATTTCCGAGCATACTTGATTTCCCCATGCCTGTCCCTTGAACTTTAACTTGTATAATCTTTCCATCATATACAGTCTTAAGGGTTTTTTTCTAGCATCCATTATGAGGGAATTGAAGCTTTTACACATACCATTCTCTATAGCAGCACAACATCTTCCAGTTTGGTAACATGCCAACGACCAAGTCTTTGGGTCTTTGTCCATCGGGTACTTATGAGCATCTGGATTTATCATCTCAATCTCTCTCATTGTATTTTTGAATTATTATTCAGTTGTTGATCGTGCAACTCTCTAAAATAAGGTACTATAGTGGGCACCACTATACCTTTTATGAAAATTTGATTGATATGTCTAGCACATGGTCTATGCTCTGCAAAGGGTAGCATCTCCTTCATAGCTTCTATCAAACCCTATAACAACAAACTTTAATAACATTACATACCAACAAACAAAGCATAGATAATCAATAATACTATAATAAAAAAATTAGTAAATACCTTGTGCTGATCTAACATTAAGTTGTATCCATTTCATAAATACAATTGCAAATCATCTATCATATTATCCAAAAACCACTTCCAATTCTCTTTGTTCTCAACACATACTACTGCCCATGCAATGGGATAAATCTAATTGTTTGCATCTCTACAATATAGCACATAGTAATTCTCCCTTACAAATGCCTTTCAGAAAACATCCATCAAGTCCTATTGTCCACTTGCATCCCTCTATCCATCCTTCTTGCACTCCATCAATATAACAACGTAAATTTTCAACAAATTTTTCATTTTCGAACACAATAAAACTCATTCCATAATTCTCAGAATCATAAAAACAATCTCCCGCCAGTGTGTACAATCATGCCGGTGCTTTGCCGCGATCCTCGGAACTACCTGAAACACATAACACATAACACGGTAAGCATAAAGCTTATTGAGTTCCCCAAAATACAACACACAGCACATCAGCCACTTGAGGCTATAACTCAAAAAGACCCTCCGGTCAATGTGTCTCAGTGGGACCCTCCGGTACCACAACTCAGATGGACCCTTTGGTCCCTCAACTCAGCAGCACAATATAATACAAAGTAAACATATCCCATAACAAATAGCAGGATATCTCAATACATAGCTTATTCACATAAGACCCTTTGGTCATACATAAAATTACCACTCAAGGTAAGTATAGTGAGAAGACTCAGCTTGTAATCTAGCAAGTGAAAACCTCGTACTCGAAAATCTCGAACTCTGCCTACCGGTCTAGC